TTCTAATATTACATAGAAATATAATATTGCATTTGTACAAACGAATACAAACAGTATTAAAGTAATAATTAAAGATAAATAATATTAATTTTATTTATAATATAGAAATAATAGTATCATATTAATAAAACTACATAAATATTATACAATAATATTACAATTATTTACATAACATCATAAAGTAATACAATTTTGTATTTGTATGAATGGATATAGCCAGAAATCAATTACGTAATAAATTACAATTAACTTTATAATACAATATAGAAATATTATTAAATAATATTAATACAAATTACATAAATAGTGCTATAATGTTATAATGATTAATAATATCATATTAAAAATATATATTTTATTTGTATGAAAGGATATAGGCGGAATTAATGATTAATTATAATATTAATAATTATATTTATTTATTTATAAAAATACTATCATATTTTTAATAATACTACATACATGTAATACTATAATATTATAATTATTTATATAATACCACATAGAAATATAATTTTGTATTTGCGTGAATTGATAGCCAGTATAAGTAATCAATTATAACTAATAATTATTTATTTCATTTATATAATATATAAATTATATCAATATTAAATAACATTATGATGATGATAATAAAATTATTAATATAATTTATATAAGATTATAAAATAGAAATAAAATATTACATTTATATCACAGTTTGAATAATGTATATTTTGATATGAAAATGCAGGTTTTGTACACTTCTCGCTGTCCAGCCCACAGAGTGAGTCAGTGTTGGAGCATGAGTGTGATCTAAGCCTGAGCACTGAAGTCTGAGAGTTTAGACACTCTGGGCCCCGTGGTGGAGCTGCGCCAGGGGCCTCACACCAGCTGCTCCATCTGACTTGTTGGTGATGGTGGAGGAGACGTGGTGTGGCTCGCAGTGATTGAGACGCTCCCGCAGAGACTGAAGCTCCACCTGCAGCGAGGACTTCTCCTCCATCAGAACGGACACCTGAAACTCACACCAGCATCTCACTCATTACCCAAGTCAACCTTCCTGCACTTCTCATCGCTCAGTGCAGCGGTCACCTGCTGCTGGAGCTCTCGGCAGCGCTGGGTCGTGCGGTCTCTATCGTCCGTCTCGTCACTCAGAAAATAAAACTTCCTGGACTGAGGAACAACAGGACGAGCAATACGTGAGGTGATGAATAAAACCCGAGCCCGTCTGATCCTGAGCTTCACACACGCGCTCACCTGACTGTCGAAATCCCCGAAGGTCTCTGGAGTTCCTGCCTCCACCGGCTCTTTGGTGAGCAGCTGACACACAAACACATTAGATCAACAGCACAGCGGTCACATGTTTCATCTGCTCCTCTTTATAGATCTACACGCAGCCTTCTGGGAGAACAGAACGAGTTTTCACACAGATCAATGGAGAGACTGTCCTCCTCATCATTTGAACGTGCAAAAGCAGCCCGAGCCCGAGGGAGGAAGTTACAGAGAAAACATTTGAATAAAAGCCCAAAAGTGACGCCCACTACGACAGTGACCCGAGACCTGAAGTATTTCACATTCACTTCCTCCACAGGGACTCAAGACAATGAGTTACACGATAAATCAGTTCTAATGAAGCACAGCCTATTTGATGCATTCTCTCTCAATCTTTCTGCATTATCAGTAAAAATCATTATTTAACTTTTATACGTCTGTCATTTGGAGACCTGCTGCAGATGAATGGAGCATACAAACACTTTTTATGTATTTAGGAACATGTGCGCACATTAAAAGTCCTTAAAAAGTCTACAAAATTCAGTTTTATGCTTTTGAACCGTTGGTTTTGTTTCCAAAGCTTCAGTACT